CCCCAAAACCCCAAAACCCCAAAACCCCAAAACCCCAAATAAGCTCTCAGAAATAGGAATAATCAATAAATATATTAAAACCCTTATTAAAGATGACTAGTATGCTTAGAATCGGAAACAGAATTGGCTGTGGCTCCTACGGAGATGTCCATGAAGCTATCGACATCAAAAAGCAGAAAAGAGTTGCAGTAAAAATCTTCAAAGACTCCTTTGAAGATGTTCAAAAGTGTATGGATCAACCTGAAGTCAAGGTTATGACAAAATTAAAGCATCCAAATATCATGGGGTTAAAAAAGGTAATATATGAACAAAATAAGCTCTACTTGGTCATGGAGCTCTGCTCCATGACCTTGTCAGACCTTCTCACTAAGAAGTTGAAGAACAAGGGAAAATTGTCAATAGAAACCATCCAGAGGTATATGATTGAGATCGTGCAAGCTGTTCAATGTTTGCACTCGCATGGCTACCTTCATAGGGACTTGAAACCTGACAACATCTTAATTTCAGATAATGGTTCACTGAAATTAACTGATTTTGGCACTATTAAGAACATGAAGGATAAGCTACCATTCACCAATTATGTGTCTACAAGGTGGTATAGAGCACCGGAATGAATCCTTGAAGTCAAGAAATACGATGAAAAATCTGATGTATTCGCTCTTGGATGAATTTTTGCTGAGATGTTCAAGATGAAACCTCTGTTCTGAGGTAGCTCCTCCTCTGACCAACTAAGGAAATACATTGAAGCAATGGGTGACAAACAGATTAAGAAGTGGAAAGAGGGAAGTAAATTGATGAAGAAGTTCTGGGGAAGTAAGTCTAAGGCTTCCTCCAGTAAATTACAAGATCTAATGATCGGAATACCTTACAACGCATTTGATCTCTTAACCCAAATGCTGTGCATCGACCCTTCAAAGAGGATCAGTTTGGATATGGTCCTTAAGCATTCCTTCTTTGGAGAAAAACCCAGCTTGCTCAAAAGAAACGTATTTGGCTCGGATTTGGAAAAAAGAGGCCATATTGCCGAGTCTGGTGAAGAGGAGAACAATAAACTCGAAAACTCCGAGTTAAAATTTAAACCGAAAAAGATTATTAAAAACTATATCACCAAATTGAAAGATAGAGAAAACCTGAACTTATCCATGGTCAATGAGTGTGAGAATGAGACCTCAAGAGAGATGACACCTTACAAGAAATATAGGAAGCGTATTTCCCAAGAGAGAAGTAAAAGCAAGTTCGCCCTCCAGAAAGAACCTACTATAAGTATGGAAGATCAAATGATGGTCGGTTTGGCAACTTCTAGGGAAACTAATATTCTTTCAGAGAGGATGAAAGATAGTTCAGCTTCTTCTTCAGGCCTGAGGAGGATTTCTAGCCTTCCACGATTTACTTCTTCTACCAATGCTAGGAATTTTATACCTAGTTCAGAGAATTGGAGATCTAAGGACGCCCAAGAATCGACTTATAATTTCCCAAATGGTGGCAGCCGCTCAAATCAATCAAGATCTAGCTCTAGCGGGGATGAACTTGATTTCTTAAAGAAAAAGATTGAGGAGAAGAAGACATTGTCTCCACCTAGCTTAAAGGACTACCTTAATATTCCCATCAAGGGACAGTCTAGGAGTTCTATGAGCATTAGTAGAGAAACTAACATTGCCAAAATCGACAAATATTTCCAAGACATTAACGGAAACAGCATTTTGAGTACACTGAACTCATCAAATGAGCTCTTCTCCAACCTGACAAGAAAGGATGACTCTCATAGGAGTTCCATCGGGAGTACAGGACATACAGTCCGTGGTATAAATGCTGCTAATCAGGTTATTTTTGGTACTTCGCACCAAAACTTCCCTGAACATCCCTCCTTGAGCTTGAATGATAATCATCGATATAATCAAGGGAGAAAATACTAAATAAAGTTACTTTAGTAATAATTTAAGTTTCAGTTTTATCTTGGTGAGGATGCCTCTCCTGGGTTGGGTTCAGGCTTTTGGGAATTAACGCCGATGTATTTCCATTAGAAAGGAGACTAGCAATATCTAAGGACGGTTTTGAAGACTTGACTGTTTCATAGCCAAGATTTGGTGTGTCTAAAGTTTTGATATCCTTCAATTAAGAATTTACCGCCAAGTTTAACACAGAATTTTATAAGATGTAATAGGCCTATTCCGAATATTTAGAGATATATTTCAGCAATAAGTTAGCAGTAGTTCTAATCAGTCGATCTTCACTCTATAAATCTGAAAGAAAAAGTATAATTTTTTTATGCTCATAAACCACATTTTATCATTCAAACGGGTGACATCTCCCAAATTCCACTTCTATGTCCACCCTCCTGGACTTCACCACGCCACCAAATGGTTCAAATTCCCTTCTTTCTTCCAAATAATTCCAAGTAAAAATCTTTGGCTGATAGCCCATTATAACTGTTCGAGCTGTACTAAGTCTCAAATTGTCGATTTCATTAAACCTCTCAGGGCTTACCACAATTATAGAGAACCTTATTGGGCAAGTCTAGCAAACCTGGGCTAGGCTCCAGCCCAGGTCGGGCCATAGTACAAATCTTACCCACAAAAATTTCCTGAGTTATTCTAAAGGAAGAGGCTCAAGAGAAGAACAAGACTAGTCCAGGAAGAACCTGGCTAGAAGGAGATTTTTGCAAATTTTTTTTGGTAAAAAGGGCATAGGCCAGTGGGGTAAGCAGGATATCATCTATATTATACCCCTACAGTTAGAAAGATGGACCTATAGGAAAAGGATGACAGAAGAGCCTAAGAATTGAGGTGATATGCTTAGTGAAGATGGTAATAACATAACAGAATCGGTTTACTAATGGACCATTAACAGTTTTTAATAACTTTCTATAAAATTCTAAGTACTTGGTGAGGGCACAATTCTGGTCTTAATAAGTACCAATTCCAGGGCACTTTCTGTACAACACGTAAAGCATCTTGGTAAATTATCAATTTAGTAGTTCCTTTAAAATGCCTTTCACCAGGATGTTATACGAGGTTTGGTGACCCTGAAATTAATTGCTCAAAATTATGAAAACCTATTATTACTAGCCAGATTCCCAAATAGAAGACTTTTTTGGCTATATATAGGCCTAAGAGGCCTTGGTCTTAGAAGATCTTGCTCTTTAAACTACAAGCTGGTGATAATTGTTATGATAATTTATATAGGCATCTATAATTTCAGTTTTAAAGGGGAAGTAGCTATTTAAATAACCTTATGAGCTTTAAATTCTCCAACAATTTCAGAAGGTGATAAGAGCAGGCTATTGAGGTCCAAGGAAAATTCATAAATTTTATTTTTATTGAAAGCTTGGTATTATATAAACCTATACGAACATTATGTAAATTTCTTTTTCCAGATGGTTAACTTTTAGAATGGTTCAGAAATAATTTGTTCTATTCACAATTGAGCCTCCCAAATGTTTCATAGTTTTACAAGATAACACAAATACTAAGGATATAAAAGTGTTACAGACAGAGAGACTTTAGAAGAGGTGAAACACTTCAAATTTCATTTTCAAGTGAAAATATTATTAATGGGGTTTTGGGGTTTTGGGGTTTTGGGGTTTTGGGGTTTTGGGG